AATAGCCATCAGAAAGGGTTTGTGTCACTGACGTTGATTATATGCATTTTTCGATCATGTTTGTCTCACCCACCAACAAGGTGCCTTCAATCATTCAAAGGGAACTTTACGGAAATATTATTATGCTGTTATATAAAACATCATGGAGGTCAGACAGTCTGCAGCCCCGTAATGAAGGGACCCGACTTGGGAAAAGCTACTTAGGTTGTGAGTCAAACCAGTACACAGAGAGTACCATTGGGAATAGCGACCCGCCAAACAACCATCGCAGAGACGCAATGCTGTAAAAGGTAACAAGCATCTATATGACTATCGTCGGGCTTACACCATCCCAAGGTCCCCGATACAGTCCAAGCGGACATCACCACCCGCATCGATGGAGGTATGAGAATACCAGAACCACAAGATGAGTTAAAGCCTGCGCCTGGCAGTACACCCGCAGATCCATCATAAGACGCAATACCGTAAGTAGCAGTAAGCAGCAATGCAACTATCATACGGATGGCGCTCAGTCACAACCCACCCACATGATCGACTTTGTCGATTTTTAACTAAAAATACAACCAACATAGTAGCACGCTACTAAGACGTCAGTAGCCACAACTCCACGTATCATAGCGCTATTGAACCACCTGACAACTCTGTGTAACAACTCTGTGTACCACAGATGTTGATACTCGTAATGTTTAGATCATATTTTTGTAGGTGTGCTCAGTTTCAATTAAAGTAACAGCCCTAGCAACTTAGTAGCGTCATATGAGTAAAGAAACCGTACACAGGCAAAGTTTCTAAGCACCTGTCAAAATTTTTACCTATTTTGGTAGGTTTGACACAGGTTGATAAAATTAAATAAAGAAAATATATAACAGCTTTTATCATATACTTAAGATAGAATATTCTTTTACAAACTACTTATTCTAAATATTTTATTTTTATAATTTTTGTTCTTCAACAATTTGTTGTGCCTTTTAATTAAATTGTGAATTCTAACCTAATGTATTTTTTTTAAATCTATTGGAAAACACTTATATGGCATAACAAATATAATATCTTGCACGCATTTTAATATTTCATTACAAATATTTACAATGTTTCTTTCGAGATCAACATGTTATGTTCGTGAAATTTTTGCTCAAGCAATTCATACGTTCATTACACATTCTCACATTGGCTGTAACTCGAACAAGCCCCGTCATTTGTCGGCAATTTGAAAAAGCATGTTGGAAAAGCATTTCCAAATAAATATTTTACAGTTCTTTTTTTTTTAGTAAACTTAATACAGAATGTTTCGATTTTATTTTGATGCTTTTTTTTCTTGTCTTTTAAAATTAATAAGTATTTATTTATTAATTACTCCATCAATTTTTAACTAGGTACTATATTTTCTTTCAATGTTGAGTTATATGTATGAGGTATCTATCTACCACATTAAAAATAATAAATTATAATCAAGTTACTACATACCTAGTGGAGTCTTTGAGATAATTACGATACATTTTAATTTGTTCTGTTATTGTTCATACAAACAATCTCATCATTCATCATCATTACAGCCCTTCACAAGTCCACTGCTGAACATAGGCCTCCTCCAAGGAATGCCACAAAGCACGGTCCTGAGCTACCTGCATCCATCGACATCCTGCACATCTTACCAGGTCGTCTCTCCATCTAGTGGAGAGACGCCCTACACTTCGTCCGCCGGTACGAGGCCGCCACTCGAGAACCTTTTTTCCCCATCGGCTGTCGCTTCTTCGAGCTATATGGCCGGCCCATTGCCACTTCAGCTTTTTTTAATATAGAATAAGGGTAACAAACGAGCACACAGTCCACATTATGGTAAGTGGTTGCTGTGAAACCACTTACCATCATGTGGACTGTTGTTGACCCTTAGACATCTACATTTATCCTCAATAAATGCAATAAAAATCAAAATGCAGATGCGTCGTTACCCGTGAGGACTAAAATGGAATGTCTCTTTTCCAGCTTTAACTTCGGAACTTTGTTAGCGCGATTTAGGCTTCGATATGTTTCGCTTGTGGCGCGACGACAGCGCCACCACACCACCTCCCTGCTCAAACCGGCGGTCGATAGTGCAGTCCGATTGCCGGTGCGTCCTTAATGCCGGTGGGGAATGCATGCTGTGTCCTTAAGGGCAAGTGACGCCGGTGCAAACGGCATGCCGGTGTGTAATTCGTGCCGTACTACGCACTTGCAAGTGATGTCGGTGAGAACGATGAGCCGGAGCAAGTGCCAAGGATTGCCTTGTAGTCTGCGGTGAGTCGAGAAAAGGCAAGTAATCTGCGAGAGTTCCGTGAAGCAGAGGCGAGCACTAAGGCTCAGAGCCGTGCCGAACACTGTAGCGCAGAGAGTAGCTTGAAGGAACATTAAGCATTATTATTCCAGTGCTGTGATTAATCTTTGTAAAGCTAGATGGCTTGCAGAATCTGAAGACTACAGACAATATCTGCTCGGGAGCGAATGAATGGTGTACTTGAGGATGATGACGAAGGTTTGAAGTTGTGGTTTCCGAAGGTTGTGGGTTGCGTGTTCATATCACGTCGGTTGGTCACCACTGTAGCTGGTGGAAGGAAAAGGGGAGATCTCCCGTTCGGAGCTATTCTATATATACTGCTTTAACTTCGGAACTTTGTTAGCGCGATTTAGGCTTCGATATGTTTTGCTTGTGGTGCGACACAGCGCCTCCACAAACGTTCGTGATTAAAAAACATGTTGATAATTGACAAACGAAATTTTAATTACTTACATCGAAAATAAAGAGTTTTTATTGCATGTCATTTCAATTCATTGTATATATATATGGCTTGAATGATATTCAGCCAATGCGTCTCATGCAACATTCCACCTATCTTGTAATATCAGCAACAGTAAGCGATAGTAGCCTACGTAATGGCAGGGTGCGAATCGCAATTGTAAAAGGTCGTGGGTACGAATTCACCATTCGACTACTGCCGTGATCCACTACTAACACATGCATTTTAAGCTCAACAGCAGTGGTTGAAAGTAATATTAGTAATGTTCAAGCATTGATAGTATTTTAAATAAAAAAATGAAAAGTAGGTTAAGGTACGCACAAGAGCCACCCTAAAGTCTCGTACATTTATATTCACTAGATGTGCGCCGCGGTTTCACCCGCGTATATCATATATATGAGCCGCGCGACATGAGAGATACGCAAAATCTCCAGCTTCTTCACCTTTCGCCCTGAAGTACGCCCACAATGCGATCCTATTCATGTTGATTGTCTATGCCGCATGCGGCGTACTCCACCAGTGGCGGGTGCCGATTGCTGGGTCTGAAAAGACCCTGCCGACACCAAGCCAGCTGGTAAGGATGATGAATGCGAGGGGCTGCTGGGTGGTCGTGAAGCACCTCGCACTCGGCTGGCGGCCCGCATGCTGTCGCATCCAGCGCCAGCTCCAGACGCGCCCTGGCGACCTCCAGACAGCGGCCCTTTCCGCATTCTTCTATTTTTCATCATCCATTTGAGGAGCGTCAGTTAAGTCTTTCTTCATTCATTATTTCTACATGATATGGTAACTAAGCAAGTATTTGCGTATGATATGTTCCAGTGGGAGGTAGTAGTGACTACGTACATTGACTGAGAGGTAGGAGATAGTCCGCCGCACTGCTCCAATACGTGTTGGCGAAATCCACATATTCTCGAAATATTTTGATTTGTCAGACATGTACGTTTTCAGTCACGATGGTTTCTTTCATCGCCGGGTACATGGTAAATCAGCACTTAAAATTGCAATTAACAGTTTCATTGGTGCCGACGTAAAGTGAATAGAAAGAGCGTCTTAATATTAATTTGAACGGCATCCCCGTGGTCACTAAACACGTTGTACTCGTATAATGTTATGATACATTGTTGCTACGTTCTAGTGGGGGTGATAGTGAGGGATTGTAGTGTTTTTATGTGACTAATATATTCATTGCACGATCATAGTATGAGCCGTTATAGCGGGCCGAGATCACAGGGCAAAGAAAGAAAACATGCCGAGGGACTAAGAAATAAGCACATAAATATTACCCTGGAGACTGTAATAACCGTTAAAAAACTTTATCAGTTATTAAACTTTAATGCATAAGATGTTATAATTTTTCAAATTTCCTTTTTACCATTAACACAGAATAAATAATAGTACTACGTACCATTAGTTTGATAATCGTTTTTGTCGGAAAATTACAGTCGTATCCTCGGCAGGCTCATCTGGGAAACGATCTTGTAATTTAATATATTCTGAGGCGTATTCTCATAGGTCATGATGTTATGAGATCGTTTGTTGCTATGCCATTTTTATTTTGATTTAATGAGAAATAAGGCTTTAATAATGGTCAAAAAAGAAAGAATTTCTTTTATATTTCAAATGAAAGCTATTTCAGTTTATATTAGTAGTTGCACTTAAATCTAGAGTTGAAGTTAGCACGATGTGGCATTAAAAGCTTTGTGTCAGTCTCAGTCAGTTAGCGCGCGACTCCGCTAGTGGATTCACGTCTCTTTGTGAGTACTACGAGTACGAGTACGGAGGTTACGATATAAAAAGTAAACAAATGTTATGTGATGTGACGATCGCTTGTAATGCTATATAATTTTATTTAAAAGAAAATTTTAGAAAAAAGGTGCGTTTTCAAATTATTACCAGTATTATTAGCTTTTAAAAATATATTTAAATTTTCAAAGTTGTAAAGAGATATTTCTTCTTATAAATAATTAATTGATTTTAATTTTCCAATTGGTCTTTAAAGCGACACGAGTGAATATTGAGATATATAAAGTTAGTTACGGCAAACTAATAAGTACTATAAAAAGTATTTACATATGTGTAAAAGTTTTCCTTTCAATAAAAATATTGGTATTTGCTTGTATTTAAAGATGCTCAATGTTGTGAGCTTACTTTGAGTATTATTAAAAAAAAATAGTACTCACTACATAAGATATTTTATTTGATGTAAATATAATATTTTTGTTCCTCTAGATGAAGGCGTGGACAGGGCACGAACAAGATGCATCCCTGTTATGCTGTCGAACATTACATGTGAAACATGCTGCATATGCAAGCGCTTTGTACGCACTGGTAAGCCTATACATTTTATAATATATCGTAGTTGAAATAAAAAATCAGACATTGACATTATTTTTGGGACACGCGTAAGGTAGAATTCCGTTTTGCAAAAATCTATTTTTTATTAATACATTGACAAATTTACTTACTCAAAAAAAGTTTCCATATAAAAAATTGAATTAATTCATGAAAATCTATTCATTCATTTAATATTGATATGATAGAAAACATATATCACAGATTGTTAATAAAAACATTACAGATTTCAATTATATCTGTAATTTTACCTAAAACATAGCATAATATTAAGGCAATATTTTATGGCACCAAAACTGGTTATTTTTTGATCGTTTAAAAATCAAACTAGTTACATAGTCCTCGATTTTCTTCAATTCATTACTTAATACTCTTAGCTATGAACTATGATGATTTTACGGTCCAAGTAAATTCTTGTGCGATCATTGTATAACACGGTCGGCGGCTAGTGTTTATTGCTGTTCCAGGAGACTGTGAGAGAGATTTTGGTGTAAAAAGCATTTTATGCTCATTCGAAAAGTGCCCTTTACTTATTTCCGTCGCTAAGTATCAGATTACTTTTGCTTCTAATTTAGTATATTATCGCTTAGTAACTTTCAGAAGATACATTCGCCAAGTTTCTAAGTCCAAACTTTATCGAGAAATTCGAAACCACGATCTAAATAACGCTAGCCATAAAGATGGCAAGTTGTGTTGTTCTTTACAAATGTTTGGGTTAGCTGAATTTATATTAGCTAAGACGAATGAATTAGTTTTTACTTCCGTTAAAACATTTTAATTAATTAATATTTAATTCAGAGGGTGTATTTTGGCTAAGACTAGTGGTATGTTTTGCAATTAACCTTACGCTGATAATTAAAAAATATTATTCTTATTAAAAAAAAGCGGCCAAGTGCGAGTCGGACTCGCGCACCGAGGGTTCCGAACAAATCCGTAGGTATATAAGTTTACAATAATTAAAAATATTTTTATTATATCATGTAACTAAAAATTTATGCTTTTCGCAATTTTTCCTTTATCTGTGCTTGTATGTATTATCATCTTTAATGTATTATCATTGCTTCGTACCAAATTTCAAGATTCTGGTTTCACGGGAAGTACCCTGTAGGTTTTGATTCCCTTACGAATATCGAAAATTTGCGGCATAATCGGCTGTATCTTTTGATTGCGTTGGCTTAGAAGTTTGATTTTTTCACAGCTCCAAGGGACAGTAGACTTGAGTACTTTGGTATAAATTTCAGCTTGATACCTCCACGTGTTCCTGAGACAAAGTGTCTTGGTAGACAGACAAACGGACAACAAAGTGATCCTATAAGGGTTCCGTTTTTTTCCTTTTGAGGTACGGAACCCTAATTACTGAAGTAAATATCAATTGAAAATGTAATGACATAGCGCATTTTCAATAACCTGAACATACGGTTTTGTTCGCAAGTGTAATTATTACAAGCTATAATAATTAAACTATAATGGTAGCAGGATTCATTATGTTAAGCCACGTCTATATCGCTAAATGCGAAGCTTTGACTCTTTATTCTGTGGCTTTGACAACTCGTTTGCATTTACATAATAGATAAATTAGTGGAAGTCAAGGTTAAGATGAGTGGACAATGAGGGCTAATAATTTTCTGCTCACCAGATGTCGCTAGTTGACACTGAGGTAAAGTTATTAGTTACACAATGTCATTTAATTGATAAATTAGTTTTTGATAAAAGTTTATCGGTTTCCTGAGTATTATATTAATACACAAAACAATGCGTCAGTGGTTTGCTCTTTAATTTTTTGCGCATTTTTAACTTTTTTTTAATTTTTCTACTTTTATGAATATTTGTGGTTTGGTTTATTTATTTTTAATCTTATTAATATAAAACATAGCTAATAGTACAGAAAAAAACAAGAACCTTTACATTTCCCGCACAAATAGACTTGAAATATGAATAGCTATGAAATCTGTCAAATATTATACCTCACTTTCTAGTGACTAGTCATGGACGCCGGAATGGGGGTACCTCAATTTTTTTTTAAATTAGAGGATTAGACTTAATGGAAACCTACAAATAAGATTAATTTTCTGATGTTATAAAAAGCTAGGAATCGGGGAATAATAAATGTTTTCTTGCTCTCCTGTAATTTAAAAAACAATTCCTCACAGAAATCCAGCGTGAATTAGAGGTTTACCTCTGCGTTTCGCTTGGTGAGTGCAGGTGGCCGGAGGCCCTTTTTACTGGAAATAAAGCATTCCATCTTAGTCCTCACGGGTGACAACGCATCTACATTTTGATTTGTAACAGAGGATAGATGTAGATGTCTATGGGCCGCAGCAACCACTTACCATCAGGTGGACTGTGTGCTCGTTTGTCACCCATATCCTATAAAAAAAAATTGAGGTTTGCCCCTTTGCGGCGTTAGCGACGTTTTCACTCACGTGAATGAGGATTTACGTAGTCTCAGTATTAATGTTGCTATTTACTTGTCGTCTGGTCGAGTAAGGACGTTCATGTGGCAAATACTGGTGAAACATTTTAATATTCTACATAAATTCAACCGAAGAGAATAGCGAAAAAAGCAAATTTAAATAGATTTTAGCAACTAAGACTTAATAAGTCGAACTTATTCGACCTTATTCGTGGTTGATTGATAATATCGGGGTAAACTATGATTTAAAAAGAGTCTATTTCGTGAATAAAATCTTTTATTCTGAAATTTGACTGGAAATTTCAAATAATTTCCAGTCCAAATTGCAGAATTTACATTTTACTTCACTTCTTTTTCACTGGACTTCTTTAATGATACTAAAAACGAAATACTGTAGTTTAAATCTCAGTCTAATTATAAACTACTTTTTGTAATAACACGAATATATGCATTGTGCGCGTGATAAATTTATTGGATTGAACACGAAAATTGACTATTAAACAATCACTTATTTGTTCTAGTATGTAACAAGGGCCAAAATTGTTTAAATCGCTGCATAGCAACAGCTTCCTAGCTTTCTATCCTAGGCCAATAAATCATGAAACTAATGTGTTACAATTATAACATACAGCGAATGCCCGTCAAAGGCTGGTATAATAAATCAATATTATCTAATTTCTTTGGTTTTCAACGTAGTATTCTCTTATAACAAGTTCTAAGTCAAATATCGAATCCAATGGAAATAATGTAAATATTCTTTTGGAACCTTCTAAAGACCATGTTTTTTATATACGTTATTATATGAATCATTGTTTAATTCATAGTTCATTCTTACTTGTCGTAAAACAGTTCTCGTCCCTATCAAATTATTTTATTCAATACCTTATAACCGTAAAACCGGTAAATGGGTTTATTTGCAGCTGTTTAAAAGTAACATTTTTATGAAACTAGGCTCACTCTTGACCTCTATCTGGCCCGAAGGCAAAGATGAGGTCTACGTTGGAGCGAATTTTCCCAGGAGAAGCCTGTTAACCTGTTAACAACTTGAAGAAATTAAGGTTATATGCACTCGGAAAAACAGACGCTGGCAGGGCATTCCACTCTTTGGCTGTGGCCGTGAAAAAGGTGACTTATAGCGCTTAGTGCGAATATTCGGAATATCATCCAAGTGTGGATGGTAGGAAACCTGCAATACGTCTGGTATTCCGATAGGGGAATGGAGATGGCGGTATGAGCTTATGAAGCTCATGGGCACACTCTCCGATGTACAATCTGTAGAAGACCGACAAACAAGCAACTTGGCGGCGGTGACCTAAGCTATGAAGCTTAGATTCCACCAGCTTTTTATCGCTGATAAGCCTCTTGGCTCTGCGTTGTACTAATTCGAGTGCGGCAAGTTGATAATTTGCTGAACCATCCCAAAAGTGAATAAAATAGTCCACGCATGTTCGGACTTGAGCTTTGTATAAAGTTAGAAGCAGTCCAGGCGTGATGTATCTAAGTAGCTTCACCTTGTTTAAAATACCCGGATTTTTGTCAACAGTTTGTGTTTCGGCTCAATGTTAGTGCGAAAGTTGAGGTTAGCACTCAACTCAAAGCCGAGAACCTCTACAGATGTATCTTGGAAAGTAGGAGTCAAATTAAACGGGCTCCCTTTTGCGGGGCACAGACAGGTCTGCGTTTTGGCGGAGTTGAAAATAACCAGATCGTCATCACCCCGTTGGAAGACGAGATTTAAGGTCGCATTTATCCGCTCCACCATGGCCTCTCTGAGGAAAAGTATTACTGCCCCTCCGGTTATTGAACTGGACATGAATCTCTCTGCGACTATGCTGTCATCTACATACCCAACAATACCTGGTAGAAGTAGGTCATTGATGCGCAGCAGGAAAAGAGTCGCAAAGAAAACAGACCCCCGAGAACTCCGGCATTAATATGCATTAGGTCAGAAGAGCAGCCATCTGTGACTACCCTGATCGAGCATTCACTCAGTAAGTCAGATATCCAGTTGCAACATTCGGCGGGGATGCCGTAAGCAGGAAGCTTACTCAGCAGAATTGCATGCCAAACCCTACTAATATCAAAATAAATCATCTCATTGATTGTAGTTTCTATATACGGAAATAAATTTTAAAATTTGTCTATAAACAGAATGAAAGAAGGTGAGTAAAAGCAACTTATTAAAATAAAGTAACAAACCTTTATGTACAAAATGGTCGAGTTTAATTAATTATCTATTGATTCCAATTAAGTAACCTTACTGATTTGGTATCATCAATATTACATATCCTACAATCTATTGGTCATGAAAATACACGCATTATTCAAGTTTTGTAAAAAATATAGTGTGTACGCATTGAATTTGTCAGACATAGACTGGTATGAGATTTTGGAGGATTTATGGGACTAAAATGACAGCAGTAATAGCAGTCTATCTGATAGTAAGAAACCATTGCAGCTCATGTACACCTGCAACCAGAAATACACGCATTCATTGTCATCTTTCATAATTCAGATGGAATGCCTGTTGCGCACAGGTTATTATTACTTTACTTATCATGCCCTATAGACTGGGATAAAACAATGAATATATTTCTGCTTGATGGCAGAAATAGGTAAGAAAGTAAGTGACCAGACTATAAAGTAAAGTTACAGTCTATATACGTCGAGGTACAGGAGAGGGTTATGGAGTACAACGTATAATAGTACTGTAATAATATAATGGTACTGTACGTACAAAGTACGGTGAGTCACGAGTACCGGAGACCCTCTATACTGGTCCTGGCATTATACGTCAGTCCTCAGGGTGACAACGCACCTATACTTTGATTTTTAGTCATGAATATGTTTGATTTCGTTATTTCTGATTGTTAGAGGAATAACAACAGCCCTTCCCTGTCCATGCTAATAATGTAACTGAAGCATTACAACAAAACTTTTATCCCCGATACTATATTAAATAAGAATAGATGAGTTGGAGAACAGATTCTAGGAGTACCATATATAAAACAAGCAAAAACTAGCATATTTAATTGATAAGTGACATACCTACATTACCTTGAATCATATTTATTTTGATACAAGTATTACTTATATTAATATTGTGTTAAGGCTTAGTTATTGTTTAATTTTTCTACCGACTTCAAAAAGTAGACTGTACTCAATTCGACTGTATGTTCTTTTTTTTTCTTTTTTTAAGTGTATTACCTTATAAATTTTTGCTGGGTGAACCGATTTCGAATGTTTATTGTAAAATTTATTCTGTATCCATTCGATTAATCTCTTACAGCCTATCCAAGTCCACTGCTGAGCATAGACCTCACCCATAGATTGCATCTTATGGGTGATATTTGCAATACATTGCATATGTGATTAGTACAGCAAGCTACACGTTTTTAAAGAAATAAGTAAAAATTACCATTTCATTTCCAGTTAAAATACAATACCGTACTTTTTAAGCTAGCTTCAAGTTATAGGCTCTTATTGAGTGAGTGCACTCACGCCGTAGTGCACTTAAAACCAGTCAGCACTCTTTCCCGGGTCTATTTATCGTTACAAAAATCTTGTTGGATTTCATCGCATTTAATTGTATACAATTGTTTATAATTAAACGCGATAAAATCCGTAAAAGTAGTTTCATTCAATGTGTAGTGTTCGCGTAAATATAAGATGTCATAATATTTTTGTTTCTTTACTTAACACTACCAGTATCGCTACAGCACATCACAATTTGCTGAACATAGGTCCCCCCATAGATTTCCACAAACTATGGTCATCAGCCACCTGCATCCATCGACTACCTGTTAGTTTTAGTATAACTTTTACATAGTGTAATCAGTTGTAGTTATTATGAAAAACGTGATTTTATTCAGTTTTTCTTACCATAGCGTTAGTTTTTTTTCTTTTTATTTAAAGGACTTTCGTTATTTTTAACATGTCAGTCCCATTGTACCTTATAACCATATAGCACAAAACAATTTATTTAATTACTTATACAATACTTAATAGCGTTAGTTAAAACATATAAAAGTTATAGATTTTTCACAGTACTCCTTTGTGGACAGCATTGTTCAACTATTTTAAAGAATGACACAAGAATAACCAGATTTCGAGTTGAACTTATCCGAGTGGGATAAGCAGTCCTGCTACAAATCAACTCCTGTAAACTTAAATTTAGTTCTATGAACTATTAATAAATACGTATTAGAAATACTGTTACTCTCGAAGTACCTATGAACGATACTTAAAGAACACGACCTGACAAAATATGAAACGACCACCAATGACTGATACGACAAAAAATAGTGACTTAGGTGTATATTAAATTACGGGTTCCAACTTATTTTATTGGAGTCGGTAAAATTATTAAGCTTTGTAATGAAAATCCTCATTTCCCTAATACTTTTATAGGTTTTGAACGCATCTAAACCCGTCCCGTTTTTATCTGTGGTACACGTTTCATCATAACACTAAAGTAACACTACCATTATGCGTTTACTTTTTTTAAATACAAAAATTTATTGTAGATTTTTTCTTTATTTGTGTAATGTATTATCAATTTATCAATAATATCATTTTTACATGGGGATATGGAAAGTATTCCGAATTAAGTTGCAAATTATAGGTTGACAATAAATATAGAATGCACTAGTACATAGAACGGAACGTATTACGAGTGTCTCTGTGCAGTCTGTGGTATTATGACACGAGAGCTGTCAAAGCACCTGTGTCTTAGATACTTAGCAGTGAAAAGATTAGAAAGGTTAATGATTCATTTTTGTCGTTTGAGCCATTGACTTGACTTATTTAGTTAAGTATATATTACTACATAGTTTTCATATCAATTGTTTTAGCTGAGGTTGTAGTCATGGCTGCAGTCATGACTCATGACTACGTCATAACCTTAAAAGTGACGAAATACATAAGTGTAACGTTCTATGATCCTCGGCTTTTAAATAATATATTTTCAATTTAGGATTTAGATTTTGCCCAGGGGGAACGGATTAATCCATACACTAGTCACGTTCGCGATATTTTATAGCCAGGTCGCAGCATGTATGGGCCGTGACCGATGTTCTTTTTGCAAAATTTATAATATTTAAACACAGCGGTATGGCATTTCTGTACTTTGAGATTTCTGAAATTTCTATACATTGACATCGTTTTTGATCCCCTTACTGGCTAATTATAAAAATTGACCAAATAACATATGTTAAATTACTTATACATTCTTAAAACAGAGATTCGGGTTATTATTCGCATTTAAAGTCTTTTAAATCAAACAAAATTGAAACAAAGTTTCCAATTATTAAACACATTTTAGATGTTTGTCTTTCAAATTAATTTTTACTTCCTTTAAAACTTCTTCAAGAACATTGTGTTTAGACAGAGTCCCTAATACGATTTTAATTAATTATGTGATAAATTAATGGCACAATTTTATTTTATTGAAGATTTTTCTATTCTTATTTTATATCTCCTTTTAATTATTTAGGAGTTGAATGTTCAAAATGTACAGATGTACAATTATTTATTTGATTGATTTTAAAACAGTCTTGAGCCTTAAAGCGAACTTCCAATTTATTTTCTATACTAATTTTGTCACCCACTTTTTGCACCTTAAGGTACGCTATGTTAAGAGGGATCCCGTCGCACCTACACAAAAGTCAGGAATAAGATGGAATGACTCGTTTCCAATAAAATGGGTCTCCAGTTCTCTACAATCGCTACACGAAACACAGCAGTATTAAACTGCTATTTTACGCTGGTATAGTCTTACCCCAATCGAGCTGACCAATTTGTGATACAACCGTAATATAGCTGCATCATGGCTCTACTACGTAAATGTATGTATGTAGTCGCGAAAATTATGAGAGCAGTAATAAACGCTTTGTTAATTACCTTCTGTTTTCTCTCAATATATTTTAAGTACTGTTTGATACATACTCCAGAATATCTTCTTGTTCTTCTTCTTCCATCTGACTATAAAAGTCACTGGTGGAAATGGTTCTCACCCGTTATCAGGAATTTTTGGCTTAATCATCACACACCTGGCAGATGGAATGACGTTCCCAGTACTAGATGTCTCATACCTTTGACACTGCTGCCCTTCGAAGGTCTGAATATTTTACGTCTGGCGTAAACGAGATAGAATAATGCCATATATCAGAAGCGGTAAAATATTCCGGTATTCCCTATAGTCTCCGCTTAACAACCACGCGATTAAAGGGGAATAGAATAGAATAGAATAGAATGATTTTTATTCAATATGGATTATTACATAATACTTATTGAAAGTCATTATTTTATTTACCACTGGTTCGGAAAATACCTCTGTCCTGGGAAGAACCAGCAAGAAACCCAGCGGGACTTTTTTTTTTAAACATAATTTCACTTAACAATAATTTTGATTATACAATTTTAAATGAATTTTCATAGAACCAGCATGGTGGCGATCACCTTATTCCCAGGGGTTATTTTCACTCATGTATTCCTTGATATTATAATAACCCTTTTTGTACAGTTTTTCTTTAATAAAACTTTTAAACTTGTTTATTGACAAACTTTGAACATGTTCTGGGATTCTGTTGTAAAAGCGTATACATTGCCCCATAAATGAATTACTAATTCTGTGGAGTCTTGTCTTGAATAGTTGTGGGGTTAATGGACTATCTTACGCCGCCATCATAAAACATCCTAGAGCAGGGATCACCAATTAGTTTCATTGGGGGTCTATTTAAAAAATATAAATCTGTCGCGATCCGTTTGATAGATGATGACTAAATGATTAAAGAAATCAGAATATTTTTTTTAATTTAGAATACATCTAATTAAAAAATAAAAAAGTAAGTAAAGTAACCTAATATTAAGGCGAAAAATGGCATTTTTTTTAACCTGAACAATCTGTCTGAAGTCTGATATTAAGTTGGTGCAAACAATTGCCATAAAATCCTGGAAATGGTCATCGGTAAGAGGAGATCGAAATTTATTTTTGATGAAGTTCATCTTGGTAAATGCTGCTTTATAAATACATATTGATCCAAACATATTACAAAGTTTCAAAAACAATTTTTTGTTCTGGGTATTTATTACCACACACTGATTTTATCGAAAATTCTTTGCATAGAACTTCCGAATTATTGTGTTTTAAAATAAAAGAAAAATGAATTACCACACATTTTAATATGATATTCTTAGATTCTTTTGGGTCCGCACAAAATAGGTCGGCAGTCCGGGTGCAGACCGCGGTCCGCCATTTGGTGACCCTTGCCCTAGAGCATACGTACACCTCAGTTGACTTTTTTGAATCGACTTTTTATTTTTACATTCCATATTTTACGCATATCCGTCATGTAATTAATTAATTTTAATTATATTGTTTCAGAATATATCAATATTAGTGGTACTGTTATACAGTTGGCGAATTGGAGTTAACGCGAAGAGATACAAGGAGCTCGATGATGTTTATTATGGTTAGACTTATATTTCTATTTAATTTATTTTAATTGAAAAACACAATGACATCCCGCAATTTTGCTGTAACATTAAATCGTTATTTAAATTTAAACGATATGTTTTATTTTAAATGAAAGCTGTGGTTCGAAAATTTAAATAAAAATCAAAGTCAAAGTGCCTTAAAATAGGAAATCCAAAAGATAAAAAGACTTTATTTAATCACGAATTTATTAGGTCAGGTAACTTTGATTGATTCATGGAGATGTGACAAATAGAACTTTTTGGAGCACATTTATTATTTATAACCAGATTCAAAAATAGGTATTAGAGTTCACGACTAAATTTATACGATTATCGTATTGATTAATTATCTTTACATATACAATCAAATAAAAAACGAATCAGAAATATTCCTTCTTAAAATTTACAAAAGCTATTAACTTGTAAAAGAACATTTTTATTAATTTATTTATTCTTTATTTTAAATAACGTTCACTAAGAATGCGTTGTGTATTTTACAAAAATGTATGCCTTGTCTTTGTTATTACATTGTCTCCCAGCCTGCACGGGATGAAATTAAAAACTAAATTATCATTTATTAATAAGACAAAAAGTTATTTTCTATTATAGGAATAGTTTTTAGACTGCCAGTTAAAGAAAAATTATCTTTATTACACTTAAATGAAATACGAAAAAAATTTAAGTAAAGATATTATATTGACGAATACGAGAACAAGGTAACTAAAAAACGATCATTTTACATTTTACGAACATAAGCAACCTTCGTCCGAGACCTGTGTAATTTTCGTTTCGTTCGTGTGGTTCGTCAATCAAATTGCTGTCGAGAATAATAATTGTGTGGTTTCGAGAAGGATACGAAATATTATTTCCTTACCTTCAACTTCCTTTTTGAATAAAAATAACTCAATAGAAAAAAAAAGTTGTTAAATGGAATATAATTAATAACAATATAATTAATAAATTCAATATTTTATACATTTTCAATTACAAAATGTGAGAGAATGAAGAGATGATATTCTCAAGACTTTTTATAATTTAAATGCTACTTTTAATAATTTCAAGGATTGGCTGACTAGTTTAATAATCGAATCAAATGGCAGCCAGGATTAACAAAAGTACAATTTGTTAGTTGACGGGTTAATTTTGTATCAATATAATTGTTAATACAATATAACATAGCTTTAAGATAATATGATTATTGGATTATCAGTAATATTACTGAGTAACCACTGAATACATTTAGGCAAAGTATACTACAAGTCGTATAACTGTAGAAGTAGAAAAAGGTAATATCAAAGTCAAAATATTTTTTATTCAAAATTAGCCTTTTCGAAGCACTTTTTGAAAGTTACAAAGCCATGCCATCTTTTTAAGAACTTCCTTCCCCACTGACGAAGAGACGGAGACCTTGTAAGCAGAAACAACTAAAACACAAAATTAGACTATTTTCTCATATCATCACAATCACTCTTTTTACCGTTTCCCGAATGTGCTCACACGTGATATCTCAATTTAAATGAGGAGTTGCTTATTAAACTTATGGGCATTCAGAACCTTTGCATACGGTTCATATTTGGACTCCGAAAATATGACCATGTCGCAAAAAACTCAAGTGAATACTCACATTCTTTTTCTTTCGTACTGTATTCTATTCAATTCCACTTTCCGTACTTACCTTAAAGAGTGGCTCGAGTTTATTGGTGACACTCACGGTCGCTCTCTACGCTCTGATAAAAACCTCACCTTAAAAATTCTGTCCCTTTATACTTCCTTTTACTCTAACTCCTTTTCTATTGAAGCTGTTCGGCTCGGGAACTCCTTACCGCCACACGTTATAAGATGTGCGCATTTAATTAAAAAAATTTAAAAATAAAACTTGTGAAAGTACACTTATTACCTCCTTAATGTTCCATTATCTCTCCCTGAACTCACGTCGCTTATTAAAATTGCTACCTATTTTTTTTTTGTTGTACCTTTTATTTCACTTAATCGTAACTCCTTTATGCTCTTGTATATATATTTCTATATTTTTCTTACTGAAAGGTATTTATTCAATATTATATTATGTATGTATATATTGAATATATAACTATTTTGTATGTTGTATGTATTTTTAAATAACTTCCGTACACCCTTACCCTTTCTCACAGTTGATTATATCCTTTGCTATGTGGTTGCCTGGTAAAGATCGCTTGTAAGCGATAAGGCCGTCAATTTTACCTTTTTTAATTTAATTTTTTTTGTCCTATTTGTCAGTTGCAATAAATTATATTTCATTCATTCATTTATCGTCTTTCAGATAATCATGTAATTTGTATTGACCTGTTTTTAAAATGCGTTTAACATGGGCCTTAAGTTGATTGCAGCCGCTTACTATAGGGTGGACTGATCGTTTTTCGGTATATGGACATTGTCGTTATGAAATGAGCCAGTAAAATGTCATCAATATTTATAAGACAATTTTTTTAATATTTTCAATAAAATATTACGGTTGTTTCAGGTGTACAGATAGCATACATCGCAATAATAGGAACCCAAATGTTTATGGTTTTACTGAGTATTTTTCTGTTCTATGGAATTTATAAAGTAAGTATAGCCCGCCGTCTTGAGTTATTTTTATTTTAAAATTATCAATAGTATATACATAAATTGAGGGGGAAAAATAGTTTTTGTACAGTTATTTCAGTAGAAATAAATTAACACCGGATAAAGAATAGAGTTAATACAAATTTACAGCTTTGTATTTTTGTTGCAGGAAAATGTTGCATTTTTGGTGCCATGGGTAGTCGGATGTATGACATTCATGGCATTAGAAACAATGGCTATGGTGTACTCAAATATATTAAGAGATCATGTTAACAAGGTAAAAATAAACAACTTCTATAGATGAGCCCAGGCCTATAAAATGTCTAAAAAAAGTAATTTGAGTTTCTCTTGCGAGAAAAGAACGTGTCCTCGTAACATTTTTAATATCTCATACTTTAGATTTTCTTACTTAACTTTCCTTTACTGCCTAGCACTTCGTAAATCAGCACCCGAAATGCGATTAAAATCTTCAGTAGCGTCACGCGGGGATCGAGCTAGATTAATAAGATTTATAACAAAATGAAGCAGTTATATCGGGCACAGTTAGATTTAGGAATAGCAGTTATGTGAGTGCATCTACTCATGCATATTATATTTCGCTCAGTTGATAGTCTATGAAAGGTGAACTTGAGGCAGGAATCAGCTAAACAGATATTAAAATGTATATCCCTATATTTACACTTACATTGAGTCTATTAATATACGTGGTAGAGTTACGCCGCTGCGTATAACGCCTCTACGAACGGGTCAGCTCGACCAGAGAAGGACCTCGCTCGCAGAGAACACTAGTGACAGCATGTAGCTGCTGTTTGCTTGTAACAAGGGGTGTCTAACAGGAAAATTAAAAATATTTAAAGTTGTTAAAAATTAATTCACTTAAATCCGCGTAATGAAATAAAATGATGTATCTTACCTAGTTTAAAGATAACCTCCCGCCCTCCCTCAATTACTTGCACTACTAATCCCAGCACCACTACTCCCAACAACACTACTCTAGGAAAGACACCGTGTCAGGTGACTCTGATAGGTAGACTCTGTGGCGTACCGCAGAGTAATCGTTAATTATATTAAATCAATATCTAAATAATACAAACTCCTCTGAAAAGGCTGAACCGATTTGTATGTTGTTGTGTGCATATCGGGTAGGTCTGAGAATCGGCCAACATCTATTTTTCACACCCGTAATTGATAAGGGTGACCCACCCCTAAATATTTTTTTTAATTTTTTGACAAAAATTTTAATTTTATTATGATTTAGCATTGAAAAATACATAAAACTTCAAATTTTCACCCTTCTACGATCAAACACTGTTTTTTAATCGCGATTTTTAAAAGTAAAAAATATTTCATGGAAACAATGTATATGGCAAAACAGCGTTTGCCGGGTCAGCTAGTAATAAATAATATTTAAATAATATTTTTTTACTTGTAGTGGTGCCGTAAGAGAATCCAATACCTCACATCATCCCACGGGTGTCGTAAGAGCCGACAGAGAGAAATGAAACAGAGTAGCAGCATCTTTCTGATAAAAACTCAAAATAATAGAAAAACTGCGATGCCAAAGTTAATTTATTGGTTGGCCTATGTTTGTAATGAATAAATAAAGACTTTTTTAAAATACAGCAAAGTTAGTGATAATCAATCACTAACTTTGCTGTACAGCTACATACAGCTACATCTTTACAAGTAAAAAGAGTCTTTATTTCTTGACACTTAGACTACGAGATACAGGAGCATTACGCTGCTATTTTACGTCGGTATTGTCCGAGTACGTTGTCCTTCTTCAGTCGAGCCGTAAGCCGTAAAGGTAAATTAAGTAGCATAGCCCGCTCCTGTTAGCACCATTATGAGTATTTAAAACCTTTGTTAGTAATGTTATACGTTACGTTAATTGTACATATACATGGGAATTTGATAGCCTCATTAGTCTAGGGGCGTAAGTGATACTGCTGATCACATCATGATACCGATTTGATTCCGGGTCGGCCCAAAATCAGTTACTGGGTTTTCTGTAAAGAAATTTTCATTAGCAGCTTGGAGTCATGAAGTTGCCGGTGTTCATACACGTGCTTTGGAAAAGTATGTAAAACCGTTAGTCCAAAGCCTGATCTCCCTCCGTTCGTGTCTTATTTCCCGTCTTATCGGACTCCACCTCCCATGGTTCCACCAACCGTGCGGTTATACGGGCCGAATCTCGAGAGATGCACGCGGTACTTGCTCTGGCCTCTTTTCCGTGTGCACTTTCTTGACTCTTTACAAGTTATTTAATCTATTCCTTGTCCCGAATAGTCACTCTCCCTTTCTGGGCATGACGTACACAACGCCTTCGGTTCTGGGCTGGTCTTCGGTTACTTGCATGTTTATTATTGATTCCATGGCAGTCATTCGTGCCTGGCATCCATGCGCAATCTCGCGCAACCGGTTAAAGTTTACCTTACCGTCCACGAGTTCCGGGTAATACACCGTTTTATTGGACTATGAGAGTGAGGAAATAGAAAATGCAACTGTATGTGCATGAATATACTAGTGCTTTATTATCCTGTTCTAAGCAGATGAATAGTCGCCATCTGGGCTGGGCGCCATCAGTGAAATTCGGTCTGGAGAACATTATTTTGTTGAGATAATTAAATATAAATGAATGCATCCGAAGTGCTGTTCCTGTACTACAATCCTTTGTTACATCGTACGTTATTGATTTAAATAGAGCACAATAGACGCGAGAGCTGTTGATTTAGCTTTTAGGAAAGTAATTATCAAGCTAGGTAAATAAGAAGAGTCAATTTTTGAGCAGCATATATAATGAAACACACTTAGTTGATAGTTCCATGTTGGTCTAGAACTTGTAGGTCTCATTTTTATGTAGTAATTCTAAAAATAAAGTGCCAACTGTGTTACTTGCCTAGCATGTCCTAAAAGGCGACTAATGGTTTGTGACTGGAATGTATAAAAGAGGTATTATTTGGTTTTACTTACTTTAAATATTACGCAACGTTAGTAGATTTAGAAAATAAACATTTTATATATCAAAAAAAATGTATATCATTTCCTTTCAAACGTATTTTAGATTACATTTATACGATACACACAGGTAACTATCGTTACGTTACAATATCTTGGTATAGTTATTTTATTTCACGATGAAGTTTTGACTTTGGATGTTGTTAACCGTGCACATACACATTGTGTTAGTGTGCGTAGGCTTAGGGAGCGCTACTTCCGAGCACCCGCAGCATACGCACACTAAAACCATGTGTATGTGCACGGTTAACAACAGTCAAAGTCAAAACTTCATCGTGAAATAGAATAACTATGTACTGTTAAATATGTAATTTTGTTTCAGCAATTCGACGCCATGTGTAAAGCAGAGATATCATTTTTAATACCGAGGATCCTTTTAAATGTAAGTAATTTATATGTTTTAATTCATATAAGGATTTCAATGACGGTGAAATAAATTGGCGTTGTCAAAGAATTTGTCACTCATTTCGCCTCTTAGGTGCAGTTAGAATCGACTTAGGAAAATTTCAGCAAGGGCTGTATAGTATGTTTTTTTATAAGCCACGTGTAAAAACACCCAAGTTAGCAACAGGACATCCACAAAGGGACACAGATGTCGTGCGTGACGTCTGGTACTGTTAACGCCATTCTGCCCAGTGGTGGTGATAGAAAATCCTTATTCCTCTACCTTATTACTATTACCGTGTCTAATCATTCTTGTCAGCAGTATTTAAATAATGAATTAAATTATAATTAAGTTCTCCAATATGAAAAAAAAAAACAAAGTTCTTTTGTTTTAGTGTTTATGTATTTGGTGTGTGCTTCGGTTGTACCACCTACTGCGAGCCGGTGTAACATGGAAAGGCGCAGCATCAATAGAACTGTGACTATTACCACCAGGCAAATGTTTGCATTCAAAAAACATGGACAATACCTCTCGCCGCGATTCAGTTGTTTGTGAATCTAGCCTTCTCCTCGGAGGAGTTGAGAGCGATACAGACGCTAGTTTACATTCCCTCTAACGAGAGCTCCACAATTTAATGTGCGTTTTATTACCTACATCAAAGTAATGTTAGAAGTTCGAATTCAGTTTTAGACTTATTACAAAATTAGTTCTCAAAGAAAATTTTAAATTATGTGTTGTTTTGCATGGAGGTACCGATTAATTTTTTTAAATTTCAGATGATGTTATTATTGTGATTTTTTATTAAATTAATCTAAAACATAGAATCGGGACGTGTAAACTATTCCTTGAAACTGATGTGCTAATGAGTATTTTTTATGTTTTCATTTGTGTTCCTAATTTACAATCTGTAGAAAGTATTGATATATGAAGGTGATTCTAGTTTACGCTTTAAATCCCTCTACTACATATTATTATAGTTAAAAATACGTTTTATAATCTATTTTTGAAGTATTAAAAAATCTCTGTTTCGATGAATGTCTAGAATGCCTTGTTGTACAAAAAATTAGTTAGCGTTAAAAACTTAAGATATAAAAAACAATACAACTAAAAAGTATTATAATGACCTGAATAATTTCACAGCATTTAATAGAAATTTAAAGCTTTGTTATGAAATAATCAGTTTTAATAGTAGGTTTATTATACCAATTAAATCAGTGACTAAAGTAGATCCGATATGGATTTTAAATGTTATTCGTTAGTATCGAATTCAGAGTAAGTAGAATAAATTGTTGTTGTTGATAAAAACATTTATATATTACCATGTAAATAAAAGCATATATTATTATTGTACGCAACATACTGTATATTTATACAAGAGACATTTTATTAAAATATTATCATGTAATTAGTAGCTGCGGATTTTGCAAAACGTATGTATATAAAATGATATATTGTACCTGCCGTTTGCATTACATGTCAAGTAATACTAAAATGGATTAAACAAAAATGTACTTTTTACTGTAAATATTTGACAGAAAAACACTCATATGCGTTTAGTTACAATAAATAAAAGAATATGTCAGTTATACTGTCTTTTAATTTATACTTATATATTTTAAATATTTATATAAAATATTATCGTTTTTAGATATCTCATTATTACTGGTTCATAAAATAAAATAAAAATATACGAGGACATATAATTGTCTACCCAACACGCGTTGGGGCATGGCCGCAGACTTCCATGCCGTAAAATCCTCAGAGCAATGAAACGAGGCCTGAATCAAGCAGTGGTAAGCACATAGGATGTTGCTTTATGTTTTTATTTTTTAATTACCACTATTGTTTTATCAAAGTATTATTTGTTTACGTTAGCTCTAAAATAACTTTCTTTAGACATGTTTAGGATCATTGTATACATAAACACTCTGCAGCAATGGCGGCAATCTTATATTCGCTGCTATCTAAGGACTAAAATGTCTCCGTCTAAATGCCTCACAGCCTGTGATTATACTAACTCTCAATACCATTTAGATCGGAGTAGTGCACGGAATGTCGTTTGGAGGCAGAAATATTTAAAATGTTCAGGTCGCGTCTTAGGCAGAAAATAAATCCCACCACTTAGTAAAAACATGTTGTAACGGTCCTCATACGTTCCACTGCCGATGCAGATAACCTGTAATTTCTCAGAGGCAGTAGTTTTGCAGCAGGGAAGCGTCTAGAGTGCTGCCTCAATGCGTGTAAACAGACTTCTTTTTGTAGTTGGTTTTGTAGTTTTTGTAGTTTTTTTGTAGTTGATGGTCGTTACCCGTGAGGACTAAGATGGAATGCCTCTTTTCCAGTAAAAAAGGTCTCCGGTTCTCTACACTCACCATACGAAACACAGCGGTGTCAAGCTGCCATTTTACGCTGGTATTCTGTGAGAGCGTGGTTCTTCTCCGATCGAGCGGACCCATTCGTGCTACAACTATGCTACTAATATAGCTGCAGCAGCTGCCTCAATGCGTGTAAACAGACTTCACATTACCTTTAAATTAGTTTTAGACATTTTCCTATATTTCACGCATGTTACCTTACAGCTGCTCTCGCTGAGCACGTGGTACTTAAAACTCCAAACAAAATAATAGTTATTAAGTAAATTAACCACAGAAGCCGTGTAATAGAAAGTTCACTATCTTAACATCCCTTAGGTGTCGTAAGAGGCGAAAGAAACAACAACATGAGATGGATAAACTGTGGTTGCCATGCGTGGTAACTAAAGTAAATATCCCATATGAAGCAATCAATGTGGGAGGCCTAGTTTCAGCAGTAGCCTTTTATATATCAAATAGTAGTTGCTTAAACTATACGACCTACAGGATAGAATAACGTTCTTTAAACTGCTATGAAGCTTTACTAAAACCTCGGACATCTTACCAACATTCCGATCTTGACTAAAAAGTCACTGATTTCCTCCCCCTAAATGTTCCTGTCCCATAAAAATCAGTTTGGTTTTACAAGGAGTAACTCGACAACTGACGCAGGTGTTGAGCTGATTAAACATATTCTCTGTGCATGGGATAATTCAGAGAATGCTTTGGGTATATCTTGTGTTTTTTTTTAAGGCTTTCGACTGCGTTCAACATGAGACATTAACCAGGAAGCTACATAATTTTTTTAACGGTTTGAGTTTGGGAAAATATTCGATGAATGTTTAACTGACTTATGTAGACTTATAGTTGTTATTTTGAGATCGTGATACTCCTTTGTCCACATAAAGGAGTAAAAAAATTAAGCGTTTAGTAAAAAGTAAAAGCTTCATTATATTTCTACTTAACAGGTTCTAAAATAAGGGCTTTTGTTCTTGTATACACTATGTGTCTTGCATCTGCTTCTGAAGCTGATAAGTGGAAATTAATTCATTATTGTTACTTCGTTGAAGCTGGCTTTTATTTCTTTTTCAAAGTTATTTCTTTATAATTTAAGATATTACAATTAGATGTCAACAAAATTAAGTGCGAGTATGTTCAAGTATAATATTTAGAATTAATTGTATTTGCACTTGCACTACACAAAACTAGCGATATTCCGTGTAGAAAAAGTTATTATAACACCGAATATCGGTAGTTTTCAGATTTCCTTGGTATATGCCTAATAATGATGCCAAATTTCAAAATTTTATGTAACCTAGGAGTGGCCTTTGATGAGAGAGTCAGTGAGAAAGTAATAAAAGAGAGAGCCAGTCAGAAAGTTATAAAAATTGTACTTTTCAGACCTTCATACATAACTCCAGAAATATACCTAATAGTTTTATTCTAAACATTTGGAATTGTTAACTATGCAAAAGATTCTCATTGGGTTTTAAATAAGAGTTCGACAATATTTATAAATTATATTATATACTAGCTGTTCCCCGCGACTTCGCTCGCGTGTTAGGGTTTTTATGTTTTTGCGCGGAACCCTAATTATTTTTCTAAAATAAAAGTAGCCTAAGTTACTCCTTATGAAATCAGCTACCTGCCAGTGAAAGTCCCGTCAAAATCGGTACAGTCGTTTCGGAGATTATTCGGAACAAACAGACAGACAGACAAACAGACAAAATTTTTAAAAATTGTGTTTTTGTCACAAGTACCGTTTATACTATCATATGCAATGAGTAAAAAGCTGTTATTTTGACATTAAAAACAGACACTTCAATTTTATTTATTTGTATAGATAGAAGCAATGTTGACTTTCTGGTATTTTCGATAGTCGCCATATATACTTATACATGATACTTACGAGACGAAATGGGATGAGGGATTCCTTCAAACCGCCAACTGTCACCACATAGCATTCTTATACGTGTACGTTGTAACACATTAAATGTGAAACTTAAATTTTAAGTATTACAACTTATCGTACATGTAGATTGCTAAAGGTAACGTATAAGAATGTAATAACTTTTTACATTGTAGTTTTTTCCAGATTCCATTTAACTTTTCTCTCAAACAAGCCAAAGAAAAATGTTTTTTTATTCGACACAGAAAAACTAATGTAATATTGTGAAGTTTGCTAATATAACTTAGTTCATCTACGCTGCTTGTTCTGATGAAATTTCATAACTTCGTTTCTATTACCTATTTTGACATATTTTAACAAAACTCCTGAAATTAAATAAAAGATAACTTGTCGTCAAAAAGTACAATTTGTTTCCAATTTTATATTCGATGTATACGAGATTTTTATAATGTATCGGACGCAATGAGATTTTTTTGGTATATTCCAATACAACGTTTAGGCCTACGTTTTATTGGCCCGATAATGACGTTAATTATCGTTTATTTTTATTATAAATTTAATTTCACGAGTATACTCCAAAAACAATGATAATTAATCAATCTAAAAAATTGGAAATTGTGATTATTTGCACATTATATTTAATATTTTAAATAGAATTTTATATGAAATAATTTTGATGATAATAATGTTTATTTTAAAATATTGACAAGTACTAAAATAGGCTATAATCGATTGATGGATGGATTACTAAAATATTTTACAATAAATAACAAGCTATTTTAATTACTTAATCCATAAATAAAAATGTTTGCGACATAATCATCTTTATACAATGTTTTAGTCCGATTTCCTCTTTTTTTTTTCTATACAAAAACCAGAAAGCTAAGCGGATCCATTAAAAGGTAAGACTTGTTCTAATTCACTTACATAAGACTTTTGTTTCGATTCACCTACACAAAGTAAACTCGCTACGAAATAAGATAATTATTGCCTCTAAGTGCCATTCCAATTAGTGCCATCCAGTAAATGAATGAAAATATTGAGAGACATTCGATTTTAAGGATACAAGTGTACTTAAAAGCAAATCCTTATTTTAAAAATTAAATTATTTACACATTTCTCATAGGCTTATCATTTCCATTTAAATAAATAACTTTGAAATCATCTCTGTGTCTGCCATGTATATTTTCTAATCATCTTAGTTAATTCTCGCACAACTTT